AAAATTAAAAGTATTACATAATTGCATATTTAATAATAGTTTAATGATAATTAATGTTTAAAAAAAGAGAGATGTATGATTCATTGATTAATAATAGTTTAATGATAATTAATGTTGTTGTGTCATATGATAATAAAATTCAAAATTTAATATTATTATATAACTTTAGATAATTTAATGTTTAAAAAATCATATAATTTAATGATCATTTATAAATTTTTATTCTATAAAACTTATAAAACTAATAATACATGTGATTATGTGAGACTTATAATATAATTAATAAGACGGTGTTTGTTTTTCTAAAAAAATTATTATTGTAGTTGTATAAATTATTTAAATTTCAGTATTATAAAACTAAAATTATTTAAATCTCAGTATTGCAAAACTCTTTTAAGTTTAAAAAATCAGTTTATTTATATTTCAGTTTATTTTCGCAGTATGTAGACGTTAAAAAACAAACAGTCTTCTTCTTGCAGACTGTAGACTTTTGGTCTACCTCTTCTGCTGCAGACGTCTGCGGATATAGTCCGCAGACTGCTGACCTTTTACCTCTGTAAAAACAAATACCACCTAAACGTGCTTATTCCACAAAAGTCAAAATTCTATGAACTAAATTGTAGATTAGAATTCAAGTCGTTAATTGGTGCGGCACATGCTATTAATTTTTAGGATAAAGTATATAAATGATCTATCGATTATAGGATATTATTTTTAAGTTATTTAATTATTAAAAGTTATAAAATGGTCTTCTAATTATAGGGTATTTCTTTGTTGAGTCTCTATACTATTAAAAGTTACAAAATGCTCCCTGAGTATTCATATGTTCCGAATTCGTCATTTTTTATTAAAAAATGATGACAGTCTGAGTTGGGTGTTATCCTGCTGAGTGGGATATCATAAAATATAATTATATAATCTCAAACAATTATCATATCCAAGTCAACATTCTAACGTCCAACTTAGATTACCGTCAATGTTTTTCTAAAAAGGACAAGTTTGAAAATATGAATAGTCAAAGGATCATTTTATAATTTTTTAATAGTCGAGGGATTCAATAAAATAATGGCCGAAGTTAGAAGATCATTTTATAACTTTTAATAATAAAGAAACTTAACAAAATAGCAGCCTATAGTTAAAGGACTTTGCCCTAAATATAAATTTCAATAGCGCCAGCTAGTGGTAGCTTACGGAAATGCAAACTGATAAAATCAATAATACAATTATTATGTTATTTAATTATGATGCCTAAAAAGGGCAAAAGAAAAGGAGAAACAGAATCCCTTGTCCTTGTTTCCACTCTCCTTTTTATCGAATCCCCCCGTTCTTACTTACGTTTATTTCCCCAAGAAAAGATTAATGGCGTTTGAATCCTCTTTAAGAAGAGGGAGTCCAACTCCGTCGTCGACCTCCACGTCGTCTAACTCTTCCAGAAGAGCTACGGCAGCTCCTCCTCGGAGATCCAGGAGCGTAAGTGCCTTCTCAAGAACCTCCAATTCCGACTTCTCCATTAAAAGAGACAATCCTCTCTTTGACAACAACAGCAGCAGCAACAGCAACGAAGACGATGGCAAAGCTGGGTTCCGAAATTCCGGCCTTGAATCCGTCAGAATCACTTCCAAAGCGAAGCCCAAAGCTACCGCAGCTGACGATTGTAATAGTAAGAGAGGCAGATCCGTTTCCAGATTTGTCTCCGATGTAAACCATGTGTCGGGTTCGGGGAATAGCAAGGATTTGTCTCGGAGCTTGTCCGTTGTGGATACAAGGAGACGTGGTCGTTCCTTCTCCTGTAATCCTCCACTTTCAAGAACCCAATTCGCTACTTCGGAGGTTTTGCTGACTTTCAATTCCATTTTTTTTAAATCTGATTTCTGTTCAATTTAATTTCAAATAGAAGTATTTTGAATGAATATTTAGCATAGGGCTGAGAAAACATTGAGAAAACCGAAAATTGAATATAGCTGTACTGCTCTAATGTTCCTTCGGCTTTGACTCGGAGTTTTTTATTTTTATTTTTTTATTCTAGTAATGGAAAAATATATAAGTTTTTGGCTGACAACTTAAAGACGGTTATTATTCAAATTGAAATGAACCGTATTTTATTTTAATTATTTTGAATTTTTATGACATAAAAATGAATATTTCATTATTTAAATTACTGAAAAAGCTTAAAAACAAAATATAGTAAATTTCCCCCGAATTGAATCATAATTTTGCTTAGATCTGAAAATTTGAACATATATGTTAAGTCAATGTATTTTACCGAAGTTCTTTGGAATCCTTTCCTAGGATATCACATATGAGGTTTTAGTTAATGTGCTTTTATCATAAGTTGAAAATATTTTCTATTTATATATAATTTTGATACAATAGTAATTCATATTATATATTGAAATATTTATGCATTTGCATGGTTTTCATGATATTGCATTGTGTCTTTATTGTTTTTTACTTTTTTCATGTTATGTTTGTGTCGTGCGATCCTCTTATGTCTTGTACTATTGTTGATGTCTTATTTTTTTTTCTACTTATTTTTTTATCTTTTTCTTTATCATTGAAATGGAAAAGTAATTACTAAAAGAAACAAATTCCATTTGAGAAATTTGTTCTATCTAATGTAAAAATGGTATTCAAGTTCAATATTTTCTATGTAAATAATTTAATTATATTATAGAACATAATATATGATTTTTATTCTATATTATATTTATTTTTATATGCTAATGTAAATAATATATTTCCTAAATAGATTAACTCGAACTGGCCAACTTAATTTGGATTGAGCTTGTTTGGTTAATCATAAGAAACATTTTTCTTTTCCTTTTTTTTAAATTTTTTACTGAAATTTCTTGATATGGGCAGAGTGAGGTGGAGCAAAAAGGTAATTCCCGGATGAAAGCCAAGAATAAAGGTAATTTAATTGCTACATTCGGGAATGGTCGAAAGGGTAATTTAGTTCAAAGCACGTCTAGTTTGCCACAGTCAGGCCAGCGGAAGCGTATCAATCCTTCGGATTCTCCTACAAGTTTGGTACAAATCCTCTGGACCTTCTTCTGTTTCTGGATTGTTTTTGAAATATTTGCTTGATATTGAAGGCAAATAAGGAAGGATCTTTCTTTGTAATTATGCGAAAATGATTCCTTTCTTTCTCTCTTTTTGTTTAGTCTCGATTAGAATCCGCAAAGTGGAATGATTTGGTCTCAACGAGTTCTATTTCAGAAGCTGAACTTGTGGGGTGAGATTTTGGATAATTTGAATCTGTTTGTAATATGTGGAAGTTTTAATCACTGCTACGGCCGGGAAAAAGAAACAAGAAAAATTAAAATCAGTAGTGTAGTGTTTTGTTTCAAGTCTGGTTTAATTGAATTTGGTTCCGTTCTAGTCCAGACTCTGGATAGTATATAAAAACATTTATTCAGTTTTTTGTTGAGGAATTAAAAACCTGGACCAAATCGATCCAAATTTGTAGAATCCGATTTCCTATGACATATGATTCATCTTCTTTTCATTTCTTAAGAAGATCAAAATACTGAACTGTAACTGTATTTTCTTTCTAAATCTAGACTGTTATTACCATATCTCCAGCTAAGTGCTTGAATCCTAGACTAAGTGTTTAAGATTTGATTGTCAAAGCTGATCAGTTTATTAGTTTACTTGTCAAAATCTGCTGAAACACTTTGTTTGTCTTGCCTTATTTTTCAAGTTACTCGAAGGGGATAATTTGGTGGGAGATGCTTCTGCTGCTGGTGACATATACAGAACTGTTAAATCTGAAGTGAGACGGGCTATTTCCGACATCCAAAATGAGCTTCAGGGTGTAAGTTATTTTGGTTTCTTGGATCCAAAATTCTCCTTTGGGTCTGTAGTTGGATGCATTTGTCTTTGACTGCTTTTCTCTGCATGTTCTTGAAAATTATGACCCTCCTAATACAAAGAAAACATTGCTGTATTCAACACTCATACTTGGTTTGAGTAACATAGTTTGTAAATCGTCTGGAAAAGAAAGCAAATACTTGATTTTGGTATTAGTTATTTTGTTCACAGCTTCTGACTGTGTTCTTCAGGCTTACCTAGTACATAGGTAGAGCTCTGTTCCAGTCAATGAATTGTTTTTGATTCTTATGATTTCAGGCTATCAGGAGTAATCCAACTACTGATGCGGACCATGTGGTTGAGTTCGTGTCAGACATACAACATGAATATGCTGCAAAACTCGAGCAGGTAATTTTCTTCTTTGCAATCTACCCTTTACGGTTTAAGTACATTTCACCATTACATGCTACAAACAAGGACACATGATTGGGAGGTAATGGCTGCAAATCAATATTACTCAAGACTCTGGTGCGAGTCTCGGATATTAGTATGCATATGACACATGTTTGTTCAATTTTCAGTATAAGGTACTTGGAGGGTTATATCCACGTATCTGTATACGGAAATGAATTAGGCAAGGGTTTCAAATATGAGTACTTGAATTAGGCCAGTTTCATTTATTGTTGCTATATTAGGAGTGATGAGATATGCAATTAGGTAGCATTTAAAGAGAAGCGTGTGATATTTGAGTTAAAGAGATATGCAAGATGCAATGAAGGGTGCCGCCACGTTTGTAATCTTCTTACTTGTAGGCCAGTTTCATTCATTGTTGCTATATTAGGAGCGATGAGATATACAATTAGGTAGCATTTAAAGAGAAGCGTGTGATATTTGAGTTAAAGAGATATGCAAGAGGCGATGAAGGGTGCTGCCATGTTTATTGTTGAGATGTTAAGAGTTAGTTAGAGGGTTTGTTAATTAGTTAATGATTAGTTAGAAGTTAGTGCATTAGTCTTGTATTTTAGCTGTATAAAAGAATGCTGTACAAATTAGTATAATAATATACGAGGTATTTTTCACACGTGTTTTAACATGATATCAGTTGAAAAGTCTCGTGTGAAATCTCGTCCTCTCTAATTTTCCCCTATTTTTTTTACTGAGTCTCGTTTTTTCCCCTTTTTTCCTCCATGAATCCCATTGATTTTACTCATCCTCTTTACCTTCATCCATCGGATTCGCCGGGGACTGTGCTGGTTTCGCATCAATTGACTGGAATCGAGAACTACAATCTGCGGAGCCACTCGATTCGAATCGCATTACTGGCAAAGAATAAGTTAGGGTTCGTCGACAGCGATTGCACTCGTGGTGATTTCGGTGAGCTGCTGCAATCACTGTGGGATAGGTGCAATGCACTCGTTCTTTCATGGATCCTAAACACTGTGAGCGTTGATCTCTCTGCGGGATTGGTGTTTGCTTCTACGGCAGCGCATGTTTGGAATGATTTGAAGGAACGCTTTAGTAAAGTTGATGGCTCTCGGATTTTCTTCCTACATCGAGAGATTGCTCTATTTACTCAAGGTGATTCCTCCGTTTCAGCCTATTATTCGCATCTAAAGCTTCTTTGGGATGAGTACAATGTGTTAGTCCCTGTCTCGTCGTGTAATTGTGTTAATGCTTCCCAAGCGTTGAATCATGTTCTTCACCACCGTTTATTTTAGTTCTTAATGGGACTGAATGAAACGTATTCTGTCTTTCGGAGTCAGATTCTCCTTCTGGATCCGCTTCCTTCGGTGAATCGAGTGTATTCGATGGTGGTTCAGGGGGAGTCCTAGCGTGGTTTTTCTTCAGGTGTTTCACCACTGTCTGATACAGTGGCCATGTATTCCAACTCTGCTAATTCTCGCCGAGGACGATTTAATGGAGTGTGCGACTTTTGTAAGATCCTTGGCCATAAGCGTGACCAGTGTTATAGACTCAATGACTTCCCTCCTGACTTCAAGTTCACCAAGACAAAGAAAACCTCTTCTGCCATGGTGGCTAATTCGGATCAGGCTAATAATCCTTTGGAATCTTCTCCTTTGGCTCCGATGTTAACCTCAGATCAGTACAATCGTTTATTGGAGCTTCTTAACAAAGATATTCATGACTCTGGTGATGTTGTTGCTGCCAATTTTGCAGGTATGGTTCATGATGGTTTACCTGCTCCTATGACTAATTCTATTACCTGGATTCTTGACACTGGAGCTACTGACCATATGCTGTCTAATTTTGAATGCTTGAGTAATCCTGTTGCATGCTTCTCCCGTTTTGTTCATCTTCCAAATGGTAAAACCCTTCCCATAACACACGTTGGTTCTTTTTGGTTTGATTCATCTCACTGCCTACAGAATGTCTTATATGTTCCTGCATTTGCTCATAATTTGTTGTCTGTCTCAAAATTGAGCATCGACTTAAATTGTGTTGTTCATTTCTATCCTGACTTTTGCATCTTTCAGGATCTCTCCAATGGCAAGATGCTGGGGATTGGTAGGAAACAGGGAGGCTTGTATGGTCTTCATTCTTTTAGTTCTTTTCTTAGTACTGTTTCTAAGGTTCCTAATGTGTCTTTTGCTATTACACCTCATTGTATGTCCTCTGTTGATAATAAAACATCCATTTGGCATGCCCGATTAGGTCATGCTTCTTTTCTTAAGTTGCATCATATCTCTTTGAAGGATTGTAAACTAGATTCTTCTGTTATTCATTCCTGTACTGTTTGTCCTTTAGCTAAACAAATTCTTCTACCCTTTCCTGTTAGTTAATCTCGTTCTAATTTTCCTTTTCAGTTAATTCACATGGACTTATGGGGTCCATACAGAATTTCCACTCATAGTGGTCATAGATTTTTTCTAACAATAGTTGATGACTATACAAGAATGACATGGGTCTACTTATTAAAACTTAAGTATGGTGCTATTATCTCTTCAAGGAAATTTCTTTCTTTGGTCCTTAATCATTTTGAGGCTTCTGTCAAAACCATTCGTAGTGATAATGGGTCTGAGTTTTTCAGCAAAGAGTGTTCTTTTCTCTTCCTTTGGCATTGTTCATCAGTCGTCTTGTGTTGACACTCCTCAACAAAATGGGGTAGCTGAAAGAAAGCATAAACACCTATTAGAAGTAGCTAGAGCACTTCGTTTTCAGTCTCGGGTTCCTATTAAATTTTGGGGAGAGTGTGTTTTAGCTGCATGTTACTTAATTAATAGGCTGCCTTCTGTTGTCCTTAATTGGAAATCTCCATATGAAATGTTTCATCATAAGTCTCCTTCTTTGTTACACTTAAAGGTTTTTGGTTGCTTAGGTTATGCTACTCAAACTAAGCCTCGTGATAAGTTTGTTCCTAGGGCTATTCCTTCGGTTTTTATGGGATACTCGGATACTCAAAAAGGTTATTTAATGTTTAGCCTTGTGTCTAAGACTTTTTTTGTGAGTAGGGATGTTCGGTTTCATGAGAATTCTTTCCCTTTTCATTCACCTGAGCTGTAATCTCGGTTATTTCCTTCACAGCCTTTTGTATCTGATTCTGAGTTTTTTGTAACTGATTTACCTCTGTCCGATGTGTCTCCAAATTCAGTTTCTCAACAGTCTGCTTCTAGTCCTTTTAACGATCCGTGTCCTGCTGTTATTAGTGCAGAGTCTCCTGCACTTGTTTCTTCTCCTTCTAATGCCCTTGTTCCTGTTGGTCATGTTGTTAGGAAGTCTTCTAGAGTTTCCAAGCCTCCACTTTGGTTAAATGAATATGTTTCTTGCCAATCATCCACTTCTAGCTTTCATCCCATTTCAAATAACATTTCTTATTCTCATCTTCCATCTCACACCCAATCGTTTCTTTCATCCACTTCCATTGTTGAACCTACTAGTTATAATGATGTCGTTAAAGACCCTTTATGGGTTAACGCCATGCAAGAGGAGATTCAAGCATTAGAATTAAACAATACTTGGTGTGTAGTTCCTTTGCCACCGGGAAAGGTCCCCATTGGATGTATATGGGTATATAAGGTTAATTTTCGATGAGATTGAACGATATAAAGCACGTTTGGTTGCGAAAGGCTACAATCAGCGAGAGGGTGTGGATTTTGTTGAAACCTTCTCCCCTGTTGCTAAGCTGGTCACCGTACGAACGGTTTTGGCGCTTGCTTCTTTGCAACATTGGTCTCTGTTTCAAATGGATGTCTATAATGCATTTCTTCAAGGGAACTTGCTTGAGGAGGTTTACTTGCCATTACCTCAAGGATTTTGAAGCCAGGGGGAGAACATGGTCTGTAGGCTGCAGAAATCTATTTATGGTCTGAAGCAAGCATCTCGGCAGTGGAACATGAGGCTAACTGAAGCTTTGGTAGCTTCAGAATTGAAAATGATTTTGCATGCTAGCTTCAGAATGAAAGATTTAGGTGAACTTAAATACTTTCTTGGTTTTGAGATACTTAGATCTAGTGAAGGGATCTTGTTGAACCAAAGGAAGTATGCATTAGAACTGATAGAAGAAACAGGATTAGGAGGTGATAAACCTGTTTGTTCTCCTATGGAGCAGAATATTAAGCTTACCACTGCTGGTTATGATTCTAGTTTGATTAAAAGTGGTGGGAAGAAGATAGATGATGAAGTGCTGCAGGGTGAAAAAGAAATCTACCAGAGGTTGATAGGTAGGTTGATTTATCTCATTCATACAAGACCAGATATCACTTTTGTGGTACATTATCTGAGTCAGTTCATGCAGCAACCAAAGAGGTCGCACTTGGAAGCAGCACTTCGAGTGGTTAAGTACATAAAGAAGAATCCTGGTCAAGGGATCTTATTGTCTTCTGCAGGACAATGTCAAATATCAGCCTTTTGTGATGCTGACTGTGCAGCTTGTTTGATGACTAGGAGACCGGTAACTGGATTTTGTGTCAAATTAGGAAATTCCTTAATTTCCTGGAAGTCAAAAAAGCATAACACTATAGCAAGGTCGTCAGCAGAGGCGGAATACAGAAGTATGGCAATGGTAGCAACATAAATTGTATGGTTAAAAGGTCTATTAGTAGAGTTGGGTGTGAAGGATCTTCAGCCGACTAAACTTTACTGTGATAGCAAGGCAGCACTGTAGATTGCAGCAAACCCGGTATTTCATGAGAGGACGAAGCATATTGAAATAGATTGCCATTTTATTCGTGAGAAAATACAAGGGGTGATTTGTACAGAATATGTTTCATCTGCAAATCAGCTAGCAGACGTTTTAACCAAGGCTATGGGTACTCAGTAGCATGAATATTTAATTTCCAAGTTGGGATTCAAAGATGTCTTTAGACTACCAACTTGAGGGGGAGTGTTGAGATGTTAAGAGTTAATTAGAGGGTTTGTTAATTAGTTAATGATTAGTTAGAAGTTAGTTAGTGCATTAGCCTTGTATTTGAGCTGTATAAAAGAATGTTGTACAAATTAGTATAATAATATACGAGGTATTTTTCACACGTGTTTTAACATTTATAAGACGTTTGTAATTTTCTTGATACCTAGTTTCTATCTAAAATAACATATTAACATTTTTTTTGATAAAAATAACATATTAACATTGCTGTACCGTATGTGATGCCGTGTTTTTTTTAACTGTCAGTATATATTAATGAATGCTATGGAGAACCCATTGAGTGCCCTCAGTGGTAAAAGGGAATGTTGTTCTCTTTAGAGGACCGGAGTTTGAGCAGCTTTGTCTGTAGGGTGCTCGCGTGTTGTCATAGGTTAAGAAAAATTCTGAACAGATTGATACATAGAGAACACAAATTTGCATTTATGCATCAATTATCAAAGTGGTTAATTTTTTTTAAATCTCACCTTTTCCCTCTCTCTCCCAAATTCCTCTATTTTTTTCAAACTGTGCCAATCCATTTCAGTCTGGATGTCTGAGGCAGATCAGCTGCGTGTCTCCCTTTGGTTGGCCATAAAGGCCCACGGTTTTTGCTTCTTCCTTCCACCTCCTTCCCTCTCCCTTTGTGGAAATGGATCCACAAGATAATCCGGTGATGGCTATGATTTTTTTTTTTACAATGTGTCCTGATTAGATTGGTTGTTCTGGCCTTCTCAATCAGTTAATAAAGATGTTTAGTTCCAGAGCCAATTTACTTGACGGAATGGAAGTTCTAGTACATACGTACACAATTTTGTTCTTTTAGGTACCAAATTTAATAGTGTATGTTACAGTGGCTAAATCAATATTTAACCAATATATTTTCGTATTTCCTTACATTTGCAGTCCGAAGAATGTGGCAGACAACTTCGAGCTGACCTAGCTGTAGAGGAACACTGGGGCATGGAGCTTTGCAGGATCTTGAAGGAAGTGCTTCCAGATGCCAAGGCTCCTAGCACAAAAAAATCTCGTCCACGAAGAAAAGTAGCATATATAGTTTAAGACTAAATTCTCCGAAGCAGTTTTACATTTTACATATCAACCACTATTTGTGCTTGTGCATGCCTATACTTGTTCAGATGTGGATTTGACCAGTCCTATTGGAAGAAAACTATTTTCCTGATTCTTATAGTCATTTCAGATAATGTTTCATGCAGTTTACTGGGTTCTTTGTCCAAGAGAATTCATTTGATTCTGTTCTAGAACCATGTGCACTCATTTGTATAAATCTTATTTTTAGTCGGAGTAACTTTCATTGCAATATACACATATTGCATCATTTAGAAATTTTAGGCAGGTAGCACGAACCAAGCGAACTCGGTGGTAAAGAAATTGTTGATATTCCTTGAGATCCCGGGTTCGAGCACCAGAAATGTCAGGGTGTGAGCATTCAATGTCAAATGGTTGAGAGTTCTCTTTGAATAGATTATGCTTTGTACTTACGCCATATTAATTAAAAAAAAGTAGGTAGCAGCTTTTATTTTGGTTTTTCGTATTTTGTTTGTGTTAATTCTAAATATTCAACGATGAATCTATTCGTAGCATTAATGTTCTCTGTTACTCAGACTTAGACGTAAGGGTTGAATACGAGTGTGTATGATACAGTTATACTCGAGTTTTCCAAGATTTTCCATGTATTTGGAGGCATCATATCTTTACATCCATATCCAAGTATGTATCGGCAAGTTAATGAACAGTTGAAGTGACAGTGTTTACAAAAGATAATGCATGCAAGTAGTTGATTTCATCGATCCTTTCCAGATAGTCTGCAGATATGTTGTTGGCCTTTGAGTTTGCATCTTTGCTTGCTCTCTAAAATAAATTCTACTTAAATATGGTGACAGTCCAGTATTGAGAGAAGGAAGTTATCAAAATGTCTGACTGACGATGCCCTTGCCTATTTCGATGAGTGTGTCTCGCTATCAACATTTGACGGCTCCGACTTCTCATCAGTAGAAGATCCGCCACTCAAATGCGTGGGCACCATCGATGTTGATGGATTATCTTTTCCGCATGCAAACTCAACCATTCCAGCCAGCAGTCGCCCTAGTATTCATCTCCATGATACACAGGTTAGTTTTTTTTCTTCATATTTTAGTATTTGTTTTCATGTTTATCTTCCATTATTTTTAAATACAGGCGCAAATCGAGTGATTTTGAGGCTTATGTTTCTGAAAACCAATGTTACTGGAACTCGAATATTGTCGAATATTGTCCGAAAAGTAAATTCGACATGTTTCTATGTTTGCAGGAATGTCGATTCACATTCGGCCATTATCATTTGGATTTAACAGCCAGTAACAGCAGCATGGAACAGACTCCAGACCTCTTCCATCCAAACAGTACTGATAGCAAATGGAGTCGAAAATTCCAGTTTTCCTTTTCTCCAGAACCAGGTCCGATATGCGAGCTCCAACAAGAGATTAAAAAGTATGTCAAAGGTTTCGAGAAAGACACCAGGAAGATTGACATTGATTCGAAGATCATACGAAGAAATAGATATGATCTGGACGATTATAATTTGCAGGCCTCGCAACAAAGCTTGTTGTTTGATCATGTGTTCCTAAAAAACAGGCTTGATTCTGGAAGTTTGCTTCTCTGCAACGGCGGATGTTTTTCAGCTCTATTTTTGCCTTTTGCTTCTTTAATCTAAATTTTATTTTGTTCTGAACATAAATAAATTTGGTATTATACTTCTAGTATTTGTTTTTGTATTTTCATATTAATTAAATTTTGTATTAGTATGTGTAGACACTACGTTTTTGTCCGTTTTTATTTTTATTATTATTAAATAATAATTTTATTTAATTACAAGAGATCCGACCTATTTACAAATTACAACCGGAGCCCAAATCTGATCCGGGCCCAGATCAGAGAGGTCTAGACCCGGTCCAAATCCGAGAAGACCCAAAACTCGTTTAGGGTTTTTGTTAGGATTTTTAAACCCTATCTCCAATGTCGCCGCCTTGGATCAAAGATGAGCCCGTCGCCGCTCCACTGTCAGGTGTTCCAACCAGCAACTGCCATAACGCCACCGCCTCGTCGAAGATTCTAGAAGCATCACGAAGTCGCACACGTCGCAGCCCTATGGTGAGTCACCACCATAATTTTGGTGACTCACCGGATTTCGATCTATTGACCGGTCCAAGAGTAGTATCATGCTGGCCTATAAAACTCACCGATCCTGCAAGGAAGAAAGAAGCAACACAACAAACACATCAACAACCAAACAGAAAATACGAAAGAAACGAGAGACGAACAACAACCAATCGAGAAACAAACGAAAGAGAGAAGACACAACAAGCAACTAACGAAAGAGAGAAGACACAACAAGCAACTAACAGCAACGAAAAGTAATTGAAAGAAAAAAATTATTGGGAAAATTATCATATTCTTATTATTTCAGTTGGAAAGAGAAATATTCGTCCTAAAGAAATTTAAGGATTAATTTCTCTTCAATTGGAAATATTAGAATATTTTTTTTATTTTTCTTTAGAATTTTCTTTAAATAAATTTACGTGATTGAATATGAAATAATAGGATCGTAAATTTAAATTTATAATTGAATTCTCATATTTCTACTACTAGAGACTATATAATCGATTGGTATTAATTCTGGGCGTTGTGGGGTGCTAATCATTCCCCAAACATAATCGACCACAAATCTATTTTCTAAAAAGAATAAATTTTTGGTTATACGCAGTTTATCTTTTAAATGATGTTTTCTTAAAAACTCTTTTAAAATGTGCTTTTTAAGTATTCGACCTACCTAATCAAAAATGTCGATGGTAACTTCAAAACATTTCATTAAAATCCATTTATTCACATGTTTTTTCGTTAAGAAAATTCGTGTCCGG